GTGCGGTCGTCGTGAGTTGTGTCGAAGAGACAGTGTGCTGCTGCTGCTGCTGCTGCTGCTGCTGCTGCTGCTGCTGCTGCTGCTGCTGCTGCTGCTGCTGCTGCTGCTGCTGCTGCTGCTGCTGATTCTGCATTCGTTGATTTCTCTCCTGACGGATCCTGTTCCATGCCTGGTTCCGATAATAGATGAAGATTGGGTCCAGGCCTTGCGACTGATATTTATTCATGACAGCCGGGTCCAATCTTTGCTGCATTGACGCCCTGATTGAGTTCTTCTCCTCCTCCGGGGCGGCATTCAACATCCTGTTGGCCAACTCACCAACTAGTGCCGCATCTTGCGGGGACATGTTCGGTGGGCCATTCGCGGGTCTGCCTGCAACATTTTGCTGCTGCTGCTGCTGCTGCTGTTGTTGGGCGGGATTGAACTGTTGCTGTTGGTTCGGTGTAATGTTTTGAGGAGGGCCTTGATTTGGTAATCCCATCGGAGCCTGCTGGGGGATTTGACCAGGAAGAGGAGAGGCTTGCATCTGACGTTGGAGGTGCGAGAAGGATTGCTGGGCCGGCTGCTGCGGCATGACTCTAGGTGCCTGACCTTGCATGTTCTGGCTCATCATCATCTGCTGTTGTGCTTGGGCTTGAGCCTGAACTTGAATTTGCTGCTGCATGTGACCCTGATTTTGCACCCGACGTTCTAGTATGTGCTCTAATTTCTGTGCCACTTCATTCTTGTAAACTTCCTGGTGCCCATGTCAGTTGAACCGCGCCACATACAGGTAGCCAGCCTCCCGTACGAACCTTGTTCGGAGACTTGTCGAAGATGTCCTTTTCGAAGCGTATTCCGAGGTCGATCATGCGCTGTATACTGTTGGGATTCAATTGTGTGTGTTGCGCGGAGAGGCGAAGGTTGCTAATTCTACAAATTACTGTCAGACCGACCCGGAAAAAGGCCCAGCTGCGAGATGCGATGAATGATACTCACATATTGAGGATGAGACCCATGCGCTCGTTAGGAGGGACCTGACTCCGCCAGCCGGTAAGCGCACCAGTCTGTTGTTGGAGGCTGTTGAATATCATCGCCTGGACCTGGGCGCTGGAGTAGTTGTTATTCATGCCCCGCTGTTGCTGTTGCTGTTGCTGTTGCTGTTGCTGCATCTGCTGTTGCGGCATCATTTGGCCAGGGCCACCCATCTGCTGGAAGTTTGAATCCATCTCGAGGTTTTGGTACAGGTCGACGACCTGACCTGACCTGACCTGACCTGCTCTGACCTGGACCGGAGGCGAGAGTTCTGGGCAGGCAGATATACTCTACTCTATACCCGACTGAATCGATTTCGGATGCGCAAGAAGATGTGACGGAAAGCGGACATGTGTTTGCGGCACAAGGATCTCTGCGAGTCAAGAATGTTAAGTCGGGGGTAGTAGGTCGAGGAGGCTTGGGGATAGTGAATGAATGGATGGATGGTAAGACTAAGGTTCAAAGACGAGGTTCGTCTCCGTCGCGGATTCCCACCACACACCAACACACCGTGTTGTTGTGGACTGGATCTGTTCTCTCTCTCTGATCTGGACAAATAATGTTCGTAGTCAACGTCGGCCGGGGGGGGGAGGGATATTGGGATCGGATTGTCCTAGAGTCGGATGGGGGAGGGAGGGGGGGGGGGGCGTGGCAGAGTGGGTAGGGAATCGAGGTATTGTCTGTAACTGTCGCGCCTTGACCTCAAGTCTCAAACACCAAGATGATGAAAGGCAAAAATTCTCTCGATGCGCAGGTACTCTGTAGGCGGAGGTTCGTCTGGTTCCTTCTAATCGCCAATGGTCGTTGTGATGACGGGTTGTGGTGGTGATGGTGGTTGGTAGTGGTGTAGTTTTGCTCCAGGAGAGAGGGTGGGAAGGGGACGGGGACGGGGGACGGGGACGGGGACGAGGAGAGACAAGAGACAATCAGTATCAGTCGGTCACCCTGCTAAGCAAGCGCTCGCTTCACGCCAAGGGCCTAGCCAGCCCAGCCCAGCTCTAGAGTCCGTCGAGTCAAAAATACGTATGAAGGATTATTTTCACAGGATGGCAAATGTGATATGGATTACAATCAATGCGATATTATTATACAGCGACATGGACATAGGGAGTTATGGACAGCCGGTGTTGAGGGAGGTCGAAGATAGGTACGATCCGAAAGTGGTAGGTAGAGTAATCGCTATTCTGTATACGGTACGGACTCTACCTTATATCCCTGGTACAGTACAGTAAGTACAGTAGGTACATACGGTACCGGTATATACTACAACGTATATGTACACGTACATGGATTCTTCGGCTCTTCTCGCCCATTTTAAACTATAAATACGACTACGATTACTAGGTACCGTACCGGTACCGGTCCTACAATCACTCACTCACTACAGGATGAGTGAGAGGTCGGTACCGGTAGCGGGAGAATAATATCATTCATTCATTGATGGATAAGGCGTATGACACGATCTGATATTCAAGTTCACGTCAGTCAGTCAGTCAGTCAGTCAGTCAGTCAGTCAGTCAGTCTCAACATCTACAACCCTTCTTTCTGATCAATCATCCACAACAACACACTGATCAACAACACACCTCCCGTACCGTATGCCCGTATGATCGACAGACGGGGGAGAAGGGGGGCTCACCGGTTCGCCCAAGTAGTCCCTTGAAGTATGCGGCTTTTCTTAACTTGCGGTTGATGGCCGTGCTTTATTGAACTCTGATCTGTTCTGATGGTCGTTCTGCAACAGCTATCTGTTTTATCTACCGTAGTACGTACCAATACCTACCTTACCTATTCATCGCCCTATAGCGGTAGCTACTCTGTATGCCTATATGTCTAGCCACCTATCTCTACGGAGTCGCCATCTTGATCTCCTTCTCTATCGATCGATGCGTCTTTCCCATGAGCATGATCTTCTCTTCATCCACTCACGGACATCCATCTCGCATAATGTTGCTACTTAAAGTCTATATTGCATCCATCCTCCGCGGCGACCCACCTCAGCAGGGACCATCAGCAAGTTCATGCCGGACTCGTAGAGGTAGGTACTACTAGGTACCGGTACCTACCTACTACAACTACTACCTACAACTATTACCACATCTACGACTACTACGACTACTACGACTACTACGACTACTACGACTACTACGACTATTACGACTTCTACTACTTCTACTGCTTCTCCTACTTCTCCTACTTCTCCTACTTCCCCTACTTCCCCTACGTCCCCTACTTCTCCTACTTCTGCGACTACTGCTTACTACGACTTCTACTTCCCATCCGCCTTAGCCACCACCTCAAGCGATTGATTGATTGCCTTGGCCGTGGAACCATGTGCCACTAGCCTGGTTGCACCAATTAATTTGCTATTCTTAACAGTACCTTTCTTCCTACCATCATCGTCACGAGGATGAATCATTCGCCCGGCTCCCCAAACCAAGCCTTGCTTTGGTCCAATCCGGTCCGATCCGATGCCATGCCCCAGACCGAAGAAGATTGGGATCTCGTCGTCAACACGTCCTCATCATGATCATCATCATCATCATCATCATTATCCAATGTGCTCTTTGGCCTCCAAGAACACTCAATCAGAAAAGCCTAGCTTCAGCTAGGTAGCAGCTAGCTGTACCGACAACTACCTACTTGGATCTGTGAAAGATGCAAGGCAGAGATCGATGGATGGGTGGTGCCGGTATCGTGGTGCGCTTGGACTCTCACGTACGCAGTATATTAATTCATTAATGAGTACCCGGGTAGTGGGTCAGGTGATAGTAGTGAAGGTCAGGTGATAGATAGATAGTAGTACCTAAAATAAAACAAGGCCTGGGTAGTAGGTCAGCTGATAAAAGTGTATAGGCCAGGTGGGTCAGGTGATAGTACCGGTAGTACAGTACCGTACCTAAAACAATGCCTGGCCCAGGTACTTAAGTACAGTAGTACTTCTACGTACCGGAACCTTCTTCCGGGCACTTATCCTCGCCCTCGCTCTGACCCATACTATATACTATACATCCGTAAATATACCTACACAGTCTACGGACATCTCCTCAACCATCCATCCCATTGCCAGAGGGGATGCCATCTTCTTCTTCTCATCATCCTCGCCAGGAGGTTGATGGTGATCGCCCATTGAGTGGATGAAACCTCGGCATCCTTCACGAAGCGCCGGCTGGAATTCCGACTGGTAAACGCGTTGACGAACGAACGCGGCGATTGATGAAACTCCCATTATCACAGGACGAGCCACGACTTCCAGTCGCAGCTGGTTCGGGAGATATTCTGGGCTCTCGCTTTTACGACGGTCTCAACCGAACTTTTAGGCTTGACCTAGGCTCCGCAAGAGCTTGCTTACGATGGCAACTAAGTTTGGCACGGGTGAGCTTCCTTCAACAGTGATTTCGCGAGGCCAGTTTCTGATATATAAATGTGACAAACTGTCATGCATGCATGCAGCGGTTCAGGTAAGAGGTTCGTTCCACTAGCTGCAGCATATCTGCAGCGAGCGAAGACCTGGCACACCAAGGATACTACTTCTTCTTCTTGTTCTTTTCTTCTTGTTCTTGTTCTTCTTCTGTGGGTCGACCATGGGCGTACCGGTACCTACCGGTACATGCCACTCCAGTCGTATACCGAGAAATTGATTGCAGCAGGCATATTCGTCTCTGCCTGGACTTGGGCAGCTAGCTACACTTCTACAAAGCTGTACCGTGGCCTATCAGTATGGCAGATCAGGTCTCTGTTGGTGTAAGGCAAATGTCTCTGCCCAGGGCCCAGGCAACCTTACTATATATCTATCCCTTCCTCAGCCGCGGCCGGAGCTACAGTACAAATTTTCATGTTTGCCGTCCTAGCATATAAGGTTAAGCAGAACCCACCAAGATGCCTCACGTTCCCCGAGATCAATTCATCAGAGATACGAGACAGCGAAACGCGTCGTGTTCATCTTTTTCGCGTTGTTCTGCAACATTTTCGATGTAGCGAGCCAATTAATCCTCGGATGAAAGGCTGCTGTGACAGCAGTTACGGGCATCAATATCTACGCCACGATTTTCTTGACACTGGCTCGGTATGTGCGTATTTGTTGTCTTGGGTGGGCTACGAGTTACGGTCCTGTGTAAGGTTCCTCTCAGACTCTAAATGTGTCTATGCTGACACTCTCAGGTGATTAGCAAATACGGTTATTATATTGATCATTATTCGGTACTTCATGTTCTCAGTCTCTACGTCGGATCCACTTATTGATTCTCCCGCTACCATGTATGTATCGAGTAATTATTCGTATTCCTTTTACCACTATTTAGAGTCGCCTCCAGACTTCTCTCCAGAAACTAGAATCAAAACCCATTAAGTACCTACACAAGCTTGGGCTTCTGATCGAAGCGGCATAAAAACATCCTGTTGCAGGGAATAGAGATGGCTTCCGCCTGACGCTCAAGTAGAACTTCGGCCTGATCTTTGGATTCATTCCGCTTTGCTCTGGAATGAGGACAGTTTTTCTCGACCGAGGCTATTGACAACGAGTTGTCGCTAGCCGTCTAACTACTGCCGTCCGAGTACATATCATGGGCTGTATTGCCTGGTTCGCTATTCCCTTCGGATTTGTAAGTCCTAAATTCGTGCTCCTGGATAGCATTGGACACTAGTGATAGATACCAGGCCACGACTCTCGGACTTGCCCGCAGTAAGCTCTCGTAGGCAACCTGTCGTACTCAGCATACCCGAGGGAATGACCTCGTCTCAAATATCCTTCCGCTTGGTTATGACTGCGTATGTCGAGATTCCCGTCTCCCACATCTTTGTTCGATACAATACTAACGTCGTTGAAGGCCCGCCTGCTTCTGGCACGCTATCGGAGTCGAACTCGGCTGGCTCTTTCTAGTCATGGGCCTTCTCATCGGAGGTGCCGTATTCCCATCAGCATTCGCAGTCAGCTGGGATAAGCAGTCCAGATACGGCACTCTAGGCGGATCACTCTTGACAGCCTGGCTTGTTACTGCTAATACCTATGACGGCGATTTGATGGTTGCAACAACTGGCTCCTCCTACACCACTCTAGCAGGCAATCTGGCAGCAGTACTCGTCGGCTTGACCCCAACGCTCATCATCTCCATCGTCAAGCCGGATAATTTCAATTGGGATATCACTCGCAGCATCAATGTACCTGCATAAGAGTGCCCACGGTTCGCTCGAAAGAAATAATAAGTGGTGAGTGGAGTCCTTCCAATGGCATACTGGGCTCCGAAAATAAAGCTACATGCACAGGTGAGAGCTTCAGTGAGTCTGAACCAACTGACAACAACAACCCGCCCCTGATAGCCAAAGGCAGAGAGCTTGAAGCCCTTGGAGACGAAGTCATTATGGAAGAGGCTACTCTACATCGCGGTCCGTTCACGGTTGCAGGCAGTTCTGCTGTCGTCCTGACACTCCTGATGGATCCCAACGTATCAATTCCCATGTTCTCGAGCTATTACGTCTTCTCCAAAGGCTTGTTCTTGGGATGGATAGAGATCAGCTTTATTTGGATATCTTGCTTGTTGATTTTCTGTGGGCTTCTGCCTATATGAGAGGCAAAAGGGTTCTTTGTGGATGTTTGAAGGGAGGTCTCCAATGCGAGGAGGGTAAGGAAGGCCCCTCGTAATCAACGAGGCTGAGGCTTGTTTGCTGGCTTGCCCTTCTAATTAGTACAGGTGAAGCCCTCGCTGATCTCTCATAGAAGCTATTGTATAGTATGATTCCAGTCCTAGTCCTGTTTGATTTCCTACGTAAACGTTCTATTTTTGAATGCTTTATATACTCGTCCAAAGGCGAGATCGACAGCTACAATTCGTGGTCTTGTATTCGCTTGACACACTTATAGGAATATTGAATTTCCCGCGCGCTTCGATGTATTCACTTGATTTTTCCTGCCTCATGTGTTGTAGGGTTTGTTTTTGTTTTTGTTTTGTTCTCGCTTCTACTAGCGTGAACACGTCCATGTAACCCCTCGACCGCCAGCCATCGAACCTCATCGAACACAACACTACAAACATCGCCCCCCAACACAGCATAATGTCACGTCCACAGTAAGTCCAGGTCCATACTTCCCTTTCTTGTGTCCGATGGTGTACCAGCGTGTGGAACCTTCCAGCTGACAAACTAGATTGATCGGTCTGCCAAATCATCCGGATTTCGATCCCATGGTGTTAGCGGCAGTTGAGCAGGAATGGGTTCTACATGCAGCTTCAGAAAAACTCCATACTCGATGGGTCGCAGTCTACAACCAAGTAGGCAGGATGGTCAATGTCGCCAGACAGTTGGAAGGTGTTCGTACAAGTATAGCCGATAAGGCGGGCCCAATGGACCCCGCGACAAATCTTTTCAGTTACTATGCCAAACCGCATCTCCGGATATTGACCGTTGAAGATAGTAAGTTACCTCCGCTACCTCTGCTATAGCTTTCTTTCTCCCTTTATCACTACTCGCCCTTTCTAAATCCGTCATTCACTAGTGGCGGAGGCTATATACCGGCATTGGCTCGATCGTCCGGATCGCCAAACTATCGACCCTTTCTATCGGATGATCAATCGGACTTACGACGGTCCACGTAAAGAAGACGCCACCTGGCTCATCAGGAAGATCAAAGAGAAGACCAAGGAGAGAGACGACGGAGTCTTACGAAACCGTCAACCAGGCGCGACCCGAAGCAATTTGCCTGCAGCCACTTCAGCTTCATCGGCAACCCAGGTCTCACACAACCGTCGACCAGGCGCGGCCGTTAGCAATTCGTCTACAACCACTTCAGCTTTACCGGTGGCCCAAACTTTTCAGTCCCACCCTATTCCTCAAACTTCACATCACCGGGTTGGATCAGTTCCTAACAGAACCGATAGATCGTTCCACACGCCAGTCAGCACAGCCCCTATCACAGCAACAGCAACGGTTGATGCGGCTCTGGTCAGTACGAATATTACATCGAATAGAAGCAGCGCGGCTCCCGCGACGAACGCTACAACTCCACCACCTGACAGATATGCGGTCCAATCCTCGGCTGCTCCTATATCCCCTCTGGGCTCTGCTGATCTGACCCCTTCAAGAACCACTCGCGAAGTGTCGAGCTCTAATAGCAGACACCGGCCAGAAGTTACCGACTTCACCACCCCTGAACTTGAAAGCCATGATAGATCAGCTAATAGTCCCAAGAAGACAGCAAGACCAGCACAACGATCTGCTCCCGGACCCGTCTTAAAGAGCACCACAGGCAATTACGATGGTGGAGGGCCAGTCAGACCTGCGGGCCAAAACGGCTTTGACTCTGCTGACAGCCTTGATAGAGATGTAGACACAACTGGTATTCTTCCCAAGAGGCCCTCCGCTCCAGCACAGCGTGCTACCTACCAACCCGGTTCGAAAGGTAAGGAAACAGAACGCCATGTCGACAACGACGGCCGGTTCACTCATCCCGATCGCAAGCTCCCTGCTTCTACCCAGGGTTTCGATGAAGACGCCACTTCAAGTGGTGATAGATACGCCACTCGAAATTTCGAAAGAGGCACTATTATGACTAGTCCCGCTCCTAAGCCACTTCATCAGGAAGAAATCTGGTCCATGAAATCTCCGCGCACAAGATCAACCAACAACCTCAACAACTCCTTCTTCAGCCAACCTGATTCCCCCATCACCACTTCATCAAGCAACAACATCGCTCACGCTCACGCTCACCCTCACGCTCCCGCTCCCGCCTCCCTACTACTACCCGCCCACAGCAGCCTACCTCCCAAACCTCCCACGATGGCACCTACCCGTCCCACTCGCACTGCTCGCAAGGGCCCCCGAGAACGCAATCGAGGCCGTCAATACCAATCTCGCGACCACAACAGAGGTGATAATAGGGGCAAGGGCAACACACCGAAGACGGCAGCAGCTACGGACTCGACCAGCCACCTCTTCGCCAACGCCAGACCGGAACCCGCGATGTACACCCCCGAGTGGGAGCTGCGCCAGCGATCCGTGGTCCCAGGATGTAACCACAACAATAGATTCAAGGAGGATACCGCGCATGACAAGATCACGTCGGCTGTGAATAACGCCAAGCGCGCCTCTGCAGCCGCTTCGCGCCTGGGAGGACCACCACTCTCAGCTCCCGCAGGAGGACTCAACAGCGATCTCCTCGGCGACGCTGCTGATGCTGCTGATGGTGGTCGCACTGACGCTGCTAGGCGCTCGCCCTCTGGCTTGGGACTTCCTGGTCCAGCTGCGGACACGGGTATGGAGATGGGTACCGGCAAGCGCTCGTCCGCCAACAGCAGCAGACAGCATGGCGGCGGCAGCGGCTCCTTCAACCCAAGCCCCCCTCCAGCATCATCCCACCAACCAGACGACATGACCCTCTTCCGCAGCAGCAGTGGAGCCGTGGGCGTCATGGCCACGGGACGCGACGTCAATCTCGGTCGCGAGTGGCCCTCGACTTCAAGCTCGCGCTTTGGCAGACTTGATGGCGACGGCGGCGACGACATGACAACCAGCCGCGGTGGCGATTCCGGCAGCGGCGGTGCGTATGGTGCTTATGGCTTCGGCGACAACTCCACTTCCGGTTCCGCTTCCGGTTTCGGCACTACCAACAGCAACAACGACAACGCTGCTGCTGCTGCTGCGACCTCCCCTGCTCACCACCGCCCCAACCAGCAGCAGCGCTGGAGCCGCTCCCAACCATTCCGCGACCGAGGCCGAGGCCGAATCCAATCCCGACCATCCCGCGGCCGAATCCAGTCCCACTCCCAGTCCCAGTCCCAGTCCCGATCCGGCGGCTCGCACTACCGACCCCGTGCCCACCGTCAAGGCCAGCCACGCTCCCACCCTCACTCATCTGCCTTCGCTGCTGCTGTTGCTGCTATCACTACTGGAACCACTCCTACTCCTACTGCCACTCCTACTACGACTGGAACTGGAACTGGAACTACTCCTACAGGAACTGAGCACCAGCAGCAGCACCAGCAAGCAGTAACAGCAACACCAACACCTGATACCCATCTTCCTACTCACGACTATGATCACGACTACGATCACAATCACGACTACGATTACGAGGATGAGGATGACATGATGGAGTGAAGGAGTGAATTTGGGGGGGGGGGCGGCGGTTTCCTTGCTTGCTTGCTTACTGCTTGCTACTGTGCTCCTGTGCTCTTTGCTCTTTGCTCTTTGCTACTTTCTTGCTTGCTTACTACTGTGCTTACTACTGTGCTTACTACTGTGCTCTCTGCTCTTTGCTCTTTGCTCTCTGCTCTTTGCTCTTTGCGCATTCACTACTACTACACTACACTACACTACACTGCCACTGCCACTGCCACTACACTGCCACTACCACTACCACTACTACCACGCTACTACCGCTGCTAGAGGGAGTGAGAGTGTGAATGATAGAGTGAGTGATGGAGTTAGGGTTTGGGTTTAGGGTTTAGGGTTTAGGGTTTAGGGTTTAGGTTTGGGGTTAGGATTTGGGGTGTGCTAGTACTACGCTCAGCTACGCTCAGCTATGGTTAGCTATGGTTAGCTATGGTGCATGTTGTATCATATCATATCTTACAACATCGAATCGAATCGATGCTCACTACTCATACTCCCTACTCATACTCACTACTCACTACTCACTACTCACTACTCATACTCACTACTCACTACTCACTACTCCCTACTCATTGGTCATCGGGAAATGGGAAATATGCAGCCGCTGCGTGTTTTACTTTACCACGGACGGAAAAGAAACTCGACTTGACTCTCAACTTCAACTTCAAAATTAAAGTTGGTGGTTTGGTTTACGGAAGATGCAAGGTTCAAGATCGGTGTTTTTTTTTTTTTTTCTGATTTGATCGGACTCGTCAGCTGTTCGTGCGCGATGGTAGTCATGGGATAAGTGACGTGAGAACTGAATAGGAGAAACAGACAGACAGACAGACCCGTAAAAGTCGCTTTTGTATTGTGATTCCCTGCCCCTCCCGTCCTGTCTATCTATCGATCTATCTTACAGTGTTGTGTACCGGTACCATCAAATCAATTAACAGCTGACTATTACTACTTGGCCTCCTTCTTCGCCTTGTCAGCCAGCTTCTCCAGCTCCTCCGTCTTCCGGGTCAGAACACCCTGCACCTCCTTGTAAGCCTCCTTCAAGACCTTCTCCGCATCCTCTCCTCTCGTCTTGGCCACCTCTTGCAGCTTCATCAGCTTCGGCAAGATCTCGCCGCCCCCGGGGATCATCTTGGCATACTGCTCGATATTCTTTCCCAGCCCGCTGTTCTTCGCCTTCTCCCCAGCCTGCTTGACGTAGTCCTGCAGACTGTCCAGGTTGCCCGAGGTCACGGCATCCTTGACCTTCGCAAACACCTCTGCAGCGTTACCCTGCTTCAGGGCGTCCGCGTTCTTCTCCACCAGCTCCTTGACCTGCGGATTCTTCTCGAGCAGCGGCTTGGCCTGCTCCAGCCCCTTCTTCCACGCCTCGTCCCCCAGCTGCCGAACCTTCTCCGTCTTGTCCTCGATCAGCTTCTTGACTTTGCTGATCGCATCCACCGATACGCCACCCTTGACAACGTCCTTGATCTGCTCATACGTCTGGTCCAACTCCTTCTTGGCCTCGGGCCCGTACGAATCAGCCATGCTCTTCAGCTGATCGAGGCCGCCCCCGAACTTTTCTTTCAGCTGCGGGTGCTCGTCCATGATCTCGCCGGCCGAGTCGCTGGCCAGCTTTGCTAGCTGACCCATGGTCTTCTCGAGGATGTTCCACGCTGTGACGGCAGTCTCCATGCTCATGCCCGACTTGGTCGCCTCCTTCAGCTCCTTGTAGCTCTCGGAGACGATCTTATCGACCTCCTCTCCGTGCTTCGCCTGCACCTTGTCCAGGTCATTGAAGGCCGAGTCAACATAGCCCTTCGCGCCCGGGATGAACGCAGCATACTGCTGAGTGGTCGAGCGGAGCCACTTCAGCGCTTCATTTGGTTCGGGGGCCTTGTCTTGGATGCCCTGCGTGAGTTTCTGAAGTTGGGCCTTGCTCGCTGAAGCGGCGTTGACGATCGACTTGGCCCCAGAAAAGTGGTAGTAGCTGTAGCCTCCCTGTGTGATGTTATTAGATCATGGATCGATTGGATAGACACCACTTGGAGAGGGGTTGGGGGGAGAGCGAACGTACGAGAAAGACCAGAGCACCGCCTGCGAGGCCTCCGACGAGACCTGAAGATCCTCCTGCGACTGCGGCTTGCTGGTTCGTAGTTGCGAAGCGGACCTGGGAGCGTAGAGGCGCGCGGGCTGTACGAGCGACAGCTCTGGTGGCTGTTCTGGATGCGATCATTGTGAGTGAGGGTGGGTTTCAAGGAATTGGCGGATTATGTTGGTGAGTGAGTGTTTGTTGTCAGATTATTTGAAGGACGTCGAGCTTTACTCGTGAATTGGAAGATACGGTTGTGAAAGAGGTCGGAGGGAGGAAGGAGACGTCGAGGTAGAGGCGCGCCATTTCCTTGATCAGAACAGGTGATGTCATCACTGTCATCCGCTGGATTTAGTAAGTAGTGGAGTAAAAGAAACCGAGCTGATATCAATCATAGATATACCCAGTATGGAGATATAGGGATAAAACCATAAATACAAATATCCCATCATCCATCCACCACTGGTATAATTATTCCTGTTCTTCGTAGATCTGATCGATTCGTCTGACTCCGTCCCTGAAAAGCTCGCCGGGATGACGCTGCAAGCAGGGGTGAAAGCTCGGGATTTATTTACTTTTAAGCTCACTCGCTTCGCCGGATCTTCAGGATCATTCATGAGCTTCAATCTCCATCCCCCCTCGGAAGGTTTGGTTTGCAGGGGCGGAGCCAAAAGTATGATAAGATCTGGGGGCGAGAGCTTTGGAAACTTCCCACACACCCAGTTCATCTATCGATCTATCTATCGACTTGCAACGGCTTTATGATTGATAACATCCGCACTATAGGTAGGTCCAGACGAACCGCAGAAGGGCAGGCATCCGATCTTTTCTATACGTATATTTACACACACATATATATATATATATATATATATATTCAAATATATACATATATTAATTAAGCATAAATGACCAGATGAGATGTCACGCCCAGCAGCCTTCCGAAAGCATTCCCGATACAAAGCACATAACCGAGTCGACACAGCACCAAGTCGGCTGGCTGCCCCTGATTCAAATTACATAATTCTCGGTCTGCTGGTATGGTAAGATATATGCAGCATACCCTTCGCGCCAGCGCATCGATCGACGTTAGATCGACAACACCTGGTAATCATAGCCAGCGAACGAACTACCTCTCCGAAAATTCCCAACAAGCAAGACATCCAAAGATCCAAGCTGATCCACAGACAAACGAAACATCGATTGGAACAGAACAGAACAGAACAGACCAGGTATCATCATTTCAGTAACTCTCCAACGAAAAGCTTCTTCTTCCCCTCTTCATACTCATCATCATATTTATCGCCATCAATCATCTTCACGTCTACCCAGGCTTCCATCCCAACCCAATCCAACTCGGGTGCGGATGGTAGAGCGTCCCCCTTTCTAACCCCCTTCAACACCTTCTTTTCGATAATAAATATAAAATCTAACCCATCATATCATTCATCATACCATTTTTACTTTCCCTCCCCGAAAACCTCCCACACGCTCTTCGGCGGCTCGTAAGTCACCCCCGCGCTCACACCCTGATACTCCATATCGAGTCCGAAGGCCTTGGGACCTCCCATCTCCAGCCCGCGCCCGGTCAGCCACATCGGGGGCGCCCGCAAGGCAATGACGTTGACCCGGAGTCCGTACTTGTAGTCCGAGATGCCCAGGGGCGCACCGTTCGCTATGTCAAGGAAGGTGATGAGGTCAGGACAGACGGCGAGGACCCGGTCGGGTTGCTCAGACGTCCGGAGGATAGCGCTGAGGTTCTCGTTCTCGAAGTCAACGAGGAGGGAGGAGGAGGAGGAGGTGACGGGGTCGGAAGCCAGCGACTCGGAGAAAGATTCCAGCAGGACGTGGCCGCGCGTGAAGCCTTCAGCCACACGCCGCGTGACGCAGATGATCTTGCCAGTGAAGAGGAGAGTGCCGTGCTCGGATTCCAGGAGCGAGTTGACAGGATCTTGTTTGAGCGAGCGCGAGAGGGCGATGGTGCGGCCAATCATCCAGGCGTGGGAGAAACTGTTCCTGGGTAGTGTGCGAGCTTCGATACCGTGGACCGGGTTGACGCACATCCCTGAGAGGGAACCAAGTCCTGTACAGGCGTCTCGCATCAAAACTTCTGCTTCTAGGTTGTCGTGAGGCTTTTGGAAGATCTGATCTGGTTAGCGAGGTTGTGTAGCTCCGGCGAGGGTGTACTACTACTCACTTGGATGTTACCAGTACCGTCAGCAACAGCGGCGGGAGCCACAGGAATGTTGTTGAGACATCGGACTGTTTGCCATACCATCGGGTACGCCCTGGCTACTAGATCACTATCGAGGGCGCTCTTACCGAAACGATGGGCCGCCAAGAGCGCCTCGAAGGCGTTCATCCCACCAATCTCGTTCGGAATAACGGCATCAAATTCGCTTATGCCAGTCGCTTCCATAACACCTTTCATGGCATCGGTGACTCTGATGATGAAGACCGTTAGCAGAGCCTCACGATACCGCAAGGGAAATTCCTACTCGTTTAGCCCGGGAAGTCGTTCAAGGTATACAGTTGGTGAGCCCTGCACGACCGATTAGTACCGACGCCGGGCAAAATCGGGACGTCCTACCATAAAGCCGGCAACAAGCACAACAGCTTCGTCTGGAAAAGTGTCTTGCCGCCTGATGGTGATATCCTCCCCATTCCGAAGAGCCGACAAGCATGCTATATACGATGGGTATGGCTCTCCACAACTTCCAACTCCCAGGACCCCGGTCCCATCTTGTAGAAACTGTAGGTCCAACTCCGACAGGTACCAAGAATCGCCCTCGATCCTAGGTCGGTACGACTCAAGGTCAACATGCTCTTCGATTTCGTATGAGGAGCCCTTCGAAGTGGCGGAAACCTGGTCTGATATGCCATTAGGTAGTTTCTTGAGCTCTTCAAACGTCTCACAGTCCACCTCGTCGTGGAATTCCTCATATCCATCTACCAGATCTCCAACAACCCTGACCAGAAGACGAGCGGCACCGTTTTTGACGTACGAAATCGGGATGATGTCAACTTCGACTACTTCGATAGTCTTGCTATTGCCACCAGCTGCTACACAGCGCTCGATTGCAAGGGCTCTGGCGTCTTCGATATTTTTGGCTATCCCTCCTGGCCCGGGGACAACCGTTGTGTCTACTGCTCCGCTTATTTTGCCAATCTAGAGCCCGTCAGCTGAAAGCACCTCCATGTTTGGGTGGAAGACTTACCGCAGCTCCTACCGCATTCGCTACTTCCAAGTACTTCGGTCTGATGACTTCACACACTCCTGCAATTTTGCCGGGAATGATGATACTTCCACCTCCTACCAGGATGATTCTCGCATCTCCCTGCTTCGTCTTCACTATGTCGATCGCTTCTTCGAGGGCTCGCGAGATTTCGGGTAGGGCACAAGATCTGAGTTCTGGAGAGACCTGACAATCGGTGAAATCATTCTCGAGGACCAGATCTGTGGTCTGAATCCGAAGTTAGCACACCTGCGCCAATTTGTAAAGTCAAGGGATTCTTCTTGGTGAGTCTTCCGGACCCCCAGGCTCGACCGAATTACCAGCATCCCATCAACCTTCGGAACTCACCGTTAATGTTTTGCCGCCAAATGCGATGGCATCTTTTTCCAGTCTTGCTCCAACCGAGTCAGGTCCAACGGAGGCTAGACCCCCTTTCATCCTAACAAGTGAGCCCCCACCCAACGCAATACTTCTCACGTCCGGAATTGTGAAGTTAGTTCTCACACCCGCAATTTTGACAAAAGCTGCAGACTGTCGCGGGTACCCAGTTTTTAGCAAAGCACAAATATCAGTGGTAGTGCTACACGGTATCAGCCCCAAATCTAGGTAAAAAGCCACAGATGATCTTACCCTCCAACATCAACCACAAGGACCTCTCTGTCATCCGCATCATCCGCATCATCCGAGCTGTCGAATCTGGCCAGTAAAGCCGCCCCCCTAGCACTGTTTGTGGGCCCAGAAGAGAAGCATCTTACAGGGTACTCGGCAGCCGTCGAAGCCCTGCTCAAAGTGCCATCGTTCAAGGTGATGTACAGATTACAATTTCCCAACTTCTGAGCAGCATACCGGAAGCCATCAATCACGTGCCTCGCGAACCTTCGTAAGCTAGCATTCAGAATACTTGCATTCTCCCGCTCGAGGAACCCCAATCGACCAATGGCGTAGGAACAGGAGATGTCATAGCCTGGACCGAGTTCTTCGACCAGGATCTTGCGAGCTTGTTCTTCTTGCGTTGGATTCGAAGGGGAATAGATCCCAATCACCACTATACTGGCGATGGCTTTCGATCTGATGACGGAGGCTTGCTCTTTGAGCTGATCGATGTTTAGTGGTAGGATTGGAGCACCATCAACTGACTTGACGTCAGTGCTTGGACTTTTGAAATTTTCAAAAAAAAAAAAAAGGACTTCTCGTCCATGTACAGGACGATGATTGAAAGATGTGTCGGTCTACCTTGATAGCCGCCATCCACGTAGCCGAAGTGCCCTTCCATCAAATCCCTCAATTTGGGAGGAAAATCCACGAACGGCGGCGACCCTTTGGAATACGGCCCACATAATCGGAGAATAGCTACCCTATCCAACTTGCTTGAGTCTTGCTCCAGCACGGCATTGACGAATTGCTAAGGATGATCAGCATCAATCAGCACACTTGGGCGCAAAGTCGTCTGTCCATATGCGTTTCCACCAGGCGGCTATTTCACTGCCTGAGTTGGGAATCGTAGTTTTGTAGGTAGGTAGGAAGTCCAAATAACCCAACGACCCAGTAACTTACGGTGGTACCAATCTTGACTGACCCGACGTGACTGGAAGGGATGTTGGCCTCCTTGACCACGGCCGCGATGGCTCGTTCAACACCTCCCTGAATATCGGAAGTGGTCGGAGTTTTGTGCCACGCGAGCACTTGGTCATTCTGCAGGATCACGCTGGGATCGGGTTGGCGATTCGTCTCAATGGGATTTGGGGGATTTGGGGAGGAGGGAGCGAGGCTCACTTTCACTCACTCACCTGTCCGTGTTAGTCCCCCCGACGTCGATTCCGATGACACAGGACGGCAGTCTCGAAGGCATTGTAGGCCGCATAACACAAGATGGACATTCAGATGGAGTAACAAGCGTGCGTGTGGGAAGACAGACAATAGGTGATCGATCAATCGAGGATTATGAATAATTATGATGGTGATCCGAAAAGTCGGACATGAGGATCACTTCGACGGTTGTGTTAAGAAGGAACCTGGAAGTTGAAGTTGAAGTTGAAGTCGAGGTCGGGGTTGGGCTTGGGGTTGGGGTTGGATCAATCGATCACGACGAGAATAATGCAGTCGCCATCATGTCTGTCACCGTCTCGCCCAGTCATGCAATGGAATGAGATGGGAAAGGAATTTTGGAGGCAATGGCATCGCCTAGATCAAGAAGATAGATTAGGGTGTACGGGGTGGTGTCCGAGGTGTAGGAGTCAGGAAGGGTGGCCTTGATAAGCCGGGAGTGGCCGTGGACGAGTCAAGAAGCGAGATAGGAGGCCTCTACCATGATCAGGACCGATGTGAAAAGACGCACTTGCACACACATCCATCACATTGAAGGAGACAAACTAGCTCTTCTTGTTTTCTACTTGCATACTGTAGCAAAGGGCCCTAAAGTAGCCAGTAGTCTACAGTTTCCAGTTCTGGAAGCGAGAGGCATGAATATAATATCAGGAATATTGACGGTAAGGAATGGCGATGCAGTGAATCCATCATATGCTACGAGCCTCTCTCTCTCTCTATCTCATCCCGTACTGGAATCGTCAGGTTAATCAAGTCGCAAAATCCAATAGCATGATCCCCAACAAACTGCGGAAGACAAAAAAACAAAAAACTAAAAAAACAAAACTGCTTGTCGCCAAGGACGTACCGGGGAAATTCCACAGCGGTTTGAACCGTAAGGTGGATACAGCGATACGGCCTATGCATACGAGAGTACGAGGAGTAGAGTACCGGTACCTATTCTTCGACTTATGCATTCAGCTTCCTCGCCGCACGCGATGCAAATGTACGACTTACTTACTCCACAGCCGAGAACCCGAGAAGAAATAAATCCGCAGGGGCTCGGGGTTTTTCTTTTTGTTTACTGTCGTCACGAATCAAGCCAGCCATCCCTGAGCAAGCCAAACATCACCCGTGTAACAGACTGTGTCTGTCTCGCTCTATGAGAAGCCCTATGGAGCGAAGTTCTTCACCCAAAAGGCCATTCAAGATCCTCATACGTATGATGGAAGAGAGAGAAGTAGGAAAAAATCAAATCTCGATAATCCCCTCGCCCCCATCTCCCAAAAGCAAATCCGATCCAAAGCGCTGCTGCACTCACTAGGGAAGGCTTACCCCACCCAGTCAGTATTTCCATTTCTATCCTTGACTCCGAAAGACACCAGAGATTCCATACTGTATGTGCAGGAGTCAGATCAAAAATACAAGACTTGGTTCTCATCATCCATGAAAGGTAGCTAGCAGCAAGAGTGTGTGTAGTTTTCCAAGGTGGTTATAGAGAGGCTTGGGTTTTGTTCTGGAACAATAAAAATGGGACAAGACGACGGGGAGCTTGAATCGCTAGCTCAGAGCACACACAGTACGCACACCGGAAGCGAAACTTGGGCTGTCATAAAAAAAATCTATCCACTCACCAGTGACTTACTTGTCTTACTGACCTCTTACAGTTGCTGCGAGATCGTTATCGGAACCAGGAAGAACGAACGGGTGCTGTATTGTGCTGTGCTGTGTGAAGAAAAGCTGGAGAGGATACCTATATGAGCTTGCTCGGATCAAAAGTATGAGCCCCTTCTTTGAGGATATATCACTGAAGATGATAAAAAGCAGAACGAAACTAAAGGGATCAGTCACGACTGCAATTTGAAGGGCCTCGCAATCAAGCACATCCACCCACCCACTGTCCATCCGTCCTACAATTCCCCACTATTATACATTCTACCCCTCTCCCCTTATCACTACACCATCTCGCCCGACCAGCAGTCTAGTAGTAGTAATTCTCCTCCAGCGTCCGTCCTCTCATAAACTGTGGCTCGCTCCCCCGAACATAGATATCCTCGAATAGATTCTTGGACGTCGGCTCCGGCGGCGGCATGGCCTCGGCCTCCTTCACCTGCGCGTCAACATCCGCTCGGGCTTCCTTGTCGATGCGCTTCAGCTCCTCCTCACTGACCACGTTCCACTCAATCAGCTTCTGCTTGAGGCCGGCGATTGGGTCCTGCGTGGAGCGCATGCGCTGAATCTCCTCGCGTGTGCGGTAGGTGGTACCCGGGTCGGACATGGAGTGTCCTCCGTAGCGGTAGGTGACGTATTCGAGGACGAGGGGCCCGTTACCGGAGGTGGCGAAGGCGCGGGCGTAGGCCACGGCGGCCTTGACAGCGAGGACGTCCATGCCGTTTACCTTGAGTCCGGCGATGTACTGGCCACGCTTGTAGTAGTCGGTTAGGGCGGAGGAGCGGTTGGCTGCTGTACCCATGCCGTATTTGTTGTCTGGATTCGCAATTAGACGTATATTCACACCCAGTACAGAAGTTAGTTGCAAGGGGACATACTCTCGCAACCGAACAAGACTGGCAAGTTCCACAGCTTGGCCATGTTGAAAGCCTCAAACACCTGACCCTGGTTACTGGCACCGTCACCATACAACACCACGCTCGTATTCTTGTTGCCGTTGTACTTGTGCGCAAAGGCCAACCCGGCACCGACCGGGACCTGGGCACCGACGATACCGTTCCCGCCGTAGAAGCCCTTGGCGAACATGTGCATGGAGCCACCCTTTCCGTAAGCGATGCCCTCGCGGCGGCCCAGCAACTCGCCGATAATGCTCTTGACGGTGGCGCCACGCATGAGAGCGTAGCCGTGGCAGCGGTAAGCTGTGATGACATCGTCCTCCTTGGTCAGGGCGTGCTCGATACCGGTGGCAACGGCTTCCTGGCCGGTGGAGAGATGGCAGAAACCGCGGATCTTCTTCTCCTTGTAGAGTCTGTCGGCGGCCATTTCCATGCGGCTGTTGTGTACGTCAGAGTTGTCCGGCGTCCGGTGATGGAGGGTAATTGGGATTGAGGAAGGAAGAAAATCACACTCACCGGGTCGAAACCATGTCGTAATACATCTTCTTCAACTCCTTCTTCGTAGTCTCGAGGGTGTACGGGGGAGGGTCAATCTCGTAGGTTTCGAAGCTCTCGTCGGAGAGGTGCACTGTGAAGGGCTTGTTATCCTCCTTTAACCAACATTAGCTAATGCATCTCGTCCCATCTTTCTTCCCCGAGCTCCGTCTATCCCTCTTTTCGACTGCGCAATTCAATTGCCCTCGCCTTCCCCCTTTGATCCACGATATCAAAGAATCTCCAACATACCTCCGGAACAGCATCCTTATCAGCATGCGCGCTCGCTGCATCGGTGGTAACTGCTCTCTTCGCAATCACGGCCCTCGAGAAGGCGAGACTCCGCAGCGGAGCAGCGCGGTTTGTCCTCAATGCCGGAGAGAACATTGTCGTCGATGTAATGTGAGGGAGATGGTAGTGAATGTGAGGGGATGAAAAAAAAGCGAAGTCTTCGGACCTTTCACGAAATGTTGGACGGTTGAGCGCGGGAGCTAGGACTATTGTTAATCCGAGTTACGCTCAACGCTTACCCCTACACCTCCATATGATGTCTCTTATCTTCTTCCTTCCCACCACAACCCTCTACAACCCACCACCATCAAATTAATCTTTCACCTCCAGTCTTCAGCGCGCCATAATCATGGCTAAACAGCCCGCCCAGAATGAGAAAGCCTCACCGCGGCCGCAGGTAGAATCAATCAGTCCTTGAACGCCGCACAACATATCCCCGGCGATTTCGCTACAATGGCTCGAGAAATCGCAAAGCTAGAATTCCAGCCGACGAACCAGGAACTGCAACAGCAGATTCAACAGATGCGACAGCAGATACTGCAAATCCAACAGCAGATGATGCAGCAGTTGCAACAGCAGATGAATTTTAACTTCGTGTCTTTGTATGTTCATCTCTTCTTATCGAACGCTTGCCCTTTTCGAAGATCTGTTCCAGGAATCGAATCTAGCTGACAAAGGTTTTTTTCTCGCTCAGCACATATTATACATCTGCAAAATTGCACAACGCACTCTTGCAAACAGATAACGGCATCCTCACTCCTCTCGTCAATCCAGCTGAGAATATCCTGGCTCCAAACTTCCCCGAAACATCTGCGGAACTTAAGAATTTGAGCTGGCCACTGAAGAAGGCCTTCGGTGTAAGCTTAGGCTTGCAAGACCCTGGTCAAGGGGTGACAGTGGTTGAAAAGAAGGCGTTCTTACAACGAATACGCTTTACTATCGGCCTAAGGCCACGGCCGGCATGACAGGGTGTGGGAATATGGGTTGGGGACTCGTTGCACATGGTGCCATGAAGCAAGTCGTGGTTAGGTTGGCGGATGAGGCTTGCAGAGTAGGAATTCAAATGCGCGAGGATTAAATTGAAATTTGGTATTGCTGGGTCTTGCTCGTTATTCATCGTAATACATCCTCAACTCCCCCTGTAACGCCTTTCGCACCTCTCAATAGACAGCCCAAGTCCACTTAAATGCCAACATCCTCGAATCTCAGAACAACCCATCGTGAGTCCTGGACCATCAAGTTATCATCCCCCATCCAAATAACATGCCTACGCGTCCATAGCCTTGACCTTCTTCGATGAGCTTTCGCCCTCATCACTCGGATTCGCCCTCTTTCCATACGACTGTGCATTCGCCGCAAGAAAATTCGACGCCTGTTCATTCCCACTCATACCAGGCTTCATGCCGACTTCATCGGCCGCCTTGATGCTAGCATCACCCGTCTTCTCGGCCCTCGCCTCATACAACTCCAACAGCCGCGCGTAATCCCCCAGAACCGAACACACCACCCCATCCAGTGCCTCCAGCCTCTGTTCCTTCTCCATCTGTACGAACGAGTCCCGGTTGTGCTTCCATAACCGCTTCGTCAACCACAGCAGCCACAGATTGTAATCCTGAACCCACGGCTCGTCGACGGCAGGGATTTTCTTCTCACTACCCGCATCGAGGGTCGAGCGACGGACGCTCGTGGGGATTCGGGAGAGGAGGTGCATCTCGACGACACGAAGGAATTGGCGGGGTGCAATCTTGACGCTTTTGCGGATCTCCTCGAGGGCGGCCTCGTCGACGATGTTGTTTGGTATGTTTCCTTTAGGGTCTGGTACGACTTCAGTGTTGATTTTGATGGCTTCGAATTCGGGGAGCTCTCGAAGGCGAGCAAGGTCGTTGAGATCGCGCATATCATCAAAGGCGTAGTTCGGGTCTTCAACTGTAATCTCCACTGTCTCCGGCTCGGCCAGGAAGTAGTCGAATATAGAGTTGTAGAATCGGGATCCGTTGCCTCCCCCTTGGAATGGTGGCAGAATGATGAATTGTGATATCCGCGACCGGCAAGGCAGAGAAGCGAAAGAGATGCTGTTTAGGGGAAGATGAAAGTCGACTGTCTTATCCTTCGCAGGCTTTTCGGGTTTGAAATAGTAAAATCGATAAACTGTCGAGTATCCCATGAACGTGTACGGACTTTGGCCCGGGACCTTCGTCTGGGCCTTCTGGTAGAGGAAGAATACTGTCCATCTCTGCAAGGACCAGTCTGAATCCTCTAGATCGATCACCGATCCCCCTTCGATAAATAGTGGGATCAAGATCTGAATCCGCTTGACCATTTGCCTTACCGCCGCATCAGACAGATCACCCCTCCAAATCTCCAGCGTCTTGTTGCCCTGCGTAAATGTCTTGATCAGCTCACCCGGGGGTGTCCAGTCGTTTTCGGCAGGACAAACAATCTGCTTTTCGAACAAGCTTGCCTTCTCCCAAGCCACTGCATCCAGTCAGCACATTTCCACGCCCCAATTAAAAGGCACCCTTACGCTTCGGCAGGTATGGCTCCAGCAGCTCCTTCACATCGGTGGCCTCGGTGTCCCCCACCGCCTTGAACTTCTTCTCGTACGAAACCAGCACGTTGGGTCGCATATCGCTGGAGTTGTAGCGTAGATGGATCTTGAGGCCTTTGTATCCGAAGATGCGCTCGTCATCACCAAAGACGGAGTAGCTCATTTTGGGGTGAAAGGTGTGGATGTGTTTGGCGGCGCCGACGTCTGGGATGACGAGGGAGATTTGGAGGGCATGATTAGAGTCGGAGGACCCTGACAGAGTATTGTATCAGTAATGGGCTTGCCTTCGAAGATTGGTGTTTTGCGCAGAGCTGGGGAATGAAGATGCGCAGGAAGGTGAGACGGTTTGCGCCGACGAGGAGAGCTGCTCTAGGCGGAGAGGAAGGAGGTGTAAATACATACAGTCATCTTCCTTTTCCACCATCTTGTCTAGATTGTATGGGCAGAATTTGTTGTAAACCTCTCGCGTTGTGGTGTTGAATAGCCCAGTGAAGTTCTGCTTGAAGGTCTCTCTGGAGAGGTCGCGTCGCAAAGTAATCTACCCAAGTACGCGTAGGAAAACTCTTGGCGAAGTTGACAGGGATGGCTATCTAGGCAATAAGCTTGAAGCTAGATGACTTACAGCCTTGTACAACTTCCAAAGGACACACAAAAACTATCTTGACGATAACAACAACAACCACAAGAGCGAAATCTGGATATCTCGAAACTCCAGGAAATTGAAATACGATTTGAAGTTTCCAAAGAAGGGCGCATGATGTTGAGGTGACGGCGCAAAGAGCAAGGAAGCATTGAGTTCGAGTTCGACAAAGTCAAGTCAAGGGCTACTCAAACTTCACCATGTTGGACGGGTTGTTTATGTTGCTCGCGCTGAGTGTGGTGATGGTTTTGGCGTAGGTGCATCGAAAAATTCCAATGCAATATGTGTTAATTCATGATAGGTCGTTCCTCGCCGGCGCCCTCCCATTGTCCATGACACTGTCCTCGTCCCAATTGCGCCTCATCTCCACCATTGGCATGGGTGTACTTGTTGGGACTTCACTCGTTGTCATTATCCCCGAGGGAATCGAAGCTGTGTATACGGCGGGAGAAGTTGGGCGTTTAAATACGAGGAGAGGGCATCAATCGCAAGGGAGAGGCGAGGTGAGGTGGGTGAGCACCGGTGTTCATACCGTCCTTACTCGAGATCCCCTCGCCATTGAAGTGCTCCCAGCATTCATTGCTTCTCGCAAAGAACTGCAAGAGAAAACAGACGAACCAGCAAACATATCCCCCCCAGCTGCAGAGACTCCTCCATCAACATCCACCCCGGAAACCACCCCTCCCCCGCCTGCAGGGCAAGAAGACCACCATAAGGACCCTCCAACCTTCTATATAGGCCTCTCCCTAATCCTAGGCTTCATCCTCATGTTCCTCGTCGATAAAATCCCCCGCCACGCTCAGGAACACATCCAACAACCTCCCGCAACCCGGCACATCTCCCTCTCGAACCTCTCCACCCTCTCATCCCCCGCGTCTCCCTCAGACGAATCATTCCTCCAATCCCTTGCTCCAACACCGAAACAAACCCGCTCTCTAGCTACCACCACCGGCCTCGTAATCCACGCTGCAGCCGACGGCATCGCCATGGGCGCCTCGGCCAGCAGTTCGAACACCAAACTAGGCTTCATCGTCTTCGTGGCGATCATGATCCATAAAGCTCCCGCGGCATTCGGACTGACGAGTGTTTTATTGAAGCAGGGACTGAGCAAACGGGCTGCGAGAGGACATCTTATCATTTTCAGTCTGGCCGCTCCGTTTGGCGCAGTAAGCACCTGGCTGATCGTTAATATTTTGGGCGGTGATCACATGGAAGGGGAAAGGGGGCAATGGTGGACGGGTATGCTGTTATTGTTCTCTGCAGGTACATTTTTGTGAGTCTCTCCGTACATCTTGATAGTGTTCTTGATCGTTACCTGGCTGTACTGAGCTTGGCTAACAAGGAAAGATACGTCGCCATGCACGCCATGCAGGAAGATTCTTCCGAGCACTCCCACCCCAGCTCCAACGTCTACGCAGAGAACACCTCGCCGCGCAAGCTGCAAAAGCCACAGATGAGAGACACTCTTGCTGCGGTTGGGGGAATGCTAATCCCGCTGTTGACGCAGATTGGACGTCAATATTAGTTCCTCGCTTATGATATAAAAGCTAGCTATATGTACGCTATTTGGTGAAAAATGAAAAGGTTAAATGCGGATAGAGCAATATGGTGGTATGAGGGAAAACACGAGAGTGGATATAAATAGGGTGATGATTTGTATGAGATATGTATGCTATGCAGCAGGGGGCACGGCGCCTTCCATACTAGCTAGGCTAGGCTTATTCTCTCTCTCTCTCTC